TTGAAGTATCTTCGTAGAAGAGACCTGAATGACCTGCCGATTTTACAGTTGCCTAAAAGCCTTTGAATACTGTATACCTATTGAATCAATCTCCATAATGCCTGTCACCCAAATGTCTGCTGCTGAAATGTCTGCCGCCCAAATATCTACCGCTCAAATGTCTGCAGCGTCAAACGAAGCAATCAATAATGATCATAATGGTATAATACAGACAGAATACACCTCCACTAGAAGATTAAATAATACTATTGCTATGTACTTATATATTTTTATTAAAAGTGAACGAAGAAGACAATACGAATTCAAAGACGGTATGCGACATTTTGTTTGTGCCGAAAAACATATCAATTTATCAATGGCAACTGGGAATGTAGTATTTTTTTTTAAAAACTAAACTTGATATTAATTGTTTAGAAATACATTCAATATTGAATATGAAAAAATGCCCGGTTAAGGTCAAACTTTTTTGATTTCTGCAGATGATAGATGGTTCCACTTACAAAGATTGGATCATTGTTTGAGATTTCAGCATGATAATGACCCAAAACACCGAAGCCGTCAATCAATCCAATTATTAAAAAAAAATTCTATCAACAATTGATTTGCCTTTTAATCGCTCCGATTTGAACCCTATAGAAAACTTTGGGAATATCGAAGAATTGGACAAAATACAAACAGTGAATATAAAAAGAAAAAATACTAGAAGAAAGAGTTAGGACGGAAATCTGAATGAAATCAAGAATCATCCTTTTTTCTTTTAAACTCCTTAATCGCGTCAGGAATAAGTCTGCGTATTCGTCGCTCATAAAATCTGTAAACATAGTAGGCGTATTTATCATATGAGCAAGTCTAGCGTTGCCACTATTCGAAAACACTGGTGTTACCACCAACCGAGGGCACAGTCACAAACTATTGTGATTTTATGTTCCTTATTTGTATTTCTTTTAATTAAATGTTACTATAGATAAAAAGGAATAATAGTTAAACTTCTTACGTAAAATAATGTGGATAAATAAATTTTATTTAGTAATTTACGACTTAATGTCGTTCATAATAATGTTGGACACCGAACTCTTTGCCAAATCCGAAAGTTTCAGGTTTTAAATTATAGCATCCGAAACCTTACCCGAAATTCGAAACTTTATCCGAAACTTTTTCCGAAACCCGAACATGCAAGGATTTAAATTTTCATATTATAAAACCTAACTTTATTATGAATTCATTTAGTATTCACCGGAGGTGAAATCCACCACGATATGTCTTTAATTATTATTATATGATTTATAGACAATTTTAATACAAAATTTTAAAGCTAAAATCTGACTTTAGGGTTAGGATTTAAAGTTTAAATTAGAGGTTAGGTGTTTTAAATAAGGTGTTGAACATTTTAACCGAAACACCAAATACCGATTATGCATTATTAATTGATGGTATCATTTGGGTCTGCTAGAGGGAAATCACTATTTGATTTGATGATTGAACCCCGTCATAATATATAAGTACTGGGATCGCCCAAAAAACGTTGTGACAGTATATATATTGCAGTATTGAATTACGTACGTACGTACGTACAATAACGATAAAAGATTTACAATATGCAGCTAGAAGAGAGCCAAGTAGGGATGTTAACAGTCCGGTCATGTCCAGTCTGGTCTTATTTTGGTCCGGTTTTTAACAGTCTCTTAAGGATTAACCAGTCCAGACTTGTCCAGACCGGACCAATTTTTTTTCAACTTCAGATCACAAATTGGATCATTTCTAATAATCCAAGTAACCCTATAAGTTTATTAAAACATTTCAGATCCATCCAAATTCAGTTTCCACTTACAACATATTTATGTAGATATATTATTTACGTATTATTATTCATAAAAATGAATATAAATTATAGTTTCGGATTATAGTTTTGGAAGTTCGAGTTTCGGAATTTCGAATTTTTTTTAAAAAAATCCGAAGCTAGTTTCGGGAGGTTTCATTTCGGATACCAACACTAGTTCGTACTATATTGATATTATTCTATTTGTCCATGATTATAAAATTTCGAATAGATTATCGTTTATGAAAATGAACACTAAATATAACGAGCGGATCGATTGTGGATGTAACTGGGACCCTAACGTCGTCAACTAAAAAAATTATCACTACAGTGTTAAGGTTTGAGTGTATTTTCGGGTTGATTTTATTTTATATTTGAAATTTGATTTTACCGGGTTGATGACGCGATGTAACGAGCTACAAAACTTTGTCGTGTGTATGGTACGTAGGAAATTTATAATAACTAAAAGGAAGTATACAAAACTTGATAATCATTATGAAGGTCAAAATATATCAAAAACCACACATACATAAGACTTCAACCCTATAAAACGTTTTCTTTTTATTACTAATTTGGGGAATAGAATAGGAAAATCACCGTTTGAATATAAGGTTTTCCTAGTCCATTCTCAATTTAAGTTATCCTAATAAGACCGATGAACTGAATTTAAACTGGACTTAAGATTACGCCTTTCATTTTGTTGCGGTAGTAACATGGAAGATCATAACGAGTTTAAAAGTTGGTCATGTACTTTTTTTTATTCAGAAAATCGTGCTCGAATTATACAGAAACTGTAATTCAGGGCTTCCAGTTTCTCGGAGAATAACGAAGCTGAAAATCTTGAGAAAATTGAGTTTCGTTAGATGGATAGTGAACAATGGAGTTTTGGGGAATGATGTTTTTTGGTTTGCTTTAACTATAGTTCTTTTCAAAATGTATAAAGCAATGTGGCTTCTCAAATGTTGATATTCTAAAGTTTATCATCAAACTTTTCATGATTCTTATTATTGAATAATTATGAATAACATCATGCTTAAATTTAAGTATATAACTAACTCCTGACCTCATTGACTTAATTCTATAATTTCACGATATAAAAAGTTTTATTAAAGAACCAATCCAAGTTAACAATTGAATCCAAATTGGACATTTTATTGCAATGGCTTTCCCGAAAAATAGTAACAATGTAACGGAATCAATACTTTTCAAATGATTGTGTAGCTATCCCAAAATTTTGAACTGTTTTAATTTATCCTTTATTTTTGTTATATTATCTTATTCATAGATGCATATTCAAATTCGGCGATTCATGCTCATGAGGTTTATTTCATAATCATTTTTTGTATCAAATTAGTTTACATTGAAGAATCTATATTCAATAATGTTTCTATAAACAACAATCAAGAGATAAGATATATCTTCTGTTTCTGGTCTTTTCACGAAAACGTTGCGCAGCTATATACTAATTATACTGATTCTAGGAAACGGAAACTATCAATCAAATAATTTTGCTAAAGATTGTTCGTTGCACAAATATGCAATGATGATAGAAAACTCTACCGCTACGTTTTTTTTTTTTTTTTTTTTTTTTTTTGATATTTATATATTTAAAAACTGAAGTTTCATACCACTTTATATGAAAATACACTTTTGAACAATTATAATTTCATTTTATATCATTATAAAAAAGAAAATTTTATTAAAAAAAAAAAAAAAACATAAGTTTTGTTATACATCTGTTAACTCTTCTATATACAAGAAAACTTGTACCGACAAATGTCTAAAATACATTTTTGTATAAATATATATAATTTTTGGCATAGTTATTTTGAAAAAAAGAAAATTATAAATCTATAAATAATCTTAAAAAAGACGAGCACCATGGCTTGTCGGTTGAAGAAGACGAGCACCATGGCTTGTCGGTTTGGGAAGACGAGCACTATGGCTTGTCGATTGAGAAAGGCTATGGCTTGTCGATTGAGGAAGGCAGCACTATGGCTTGTTGGTTGAAGAAGGCATTGCTTCAAATATAAAAAAAAATTTTTTTAAAAAAATAAAAAACCGACAGCCTTGGCTTGTCGGTTGAGGAACCAATATCTTGAAAAAATTAGAGTGTTCTCGAAATTATCTTTGTTTGGTTGAGCCATAGCTCTAAAAAAATTTTTTGACGTTTTTGACTTTCGAAGTTTAGACTTCATATAAAAAAAAAAGTTCTTTTTTTTTTCTAAATTCTTTTCTTTTCTTTTCACTTTTAATCCAAAATAAAACATTTATTTTGGTTTTCAGCATATCCGATAATAATTTTTGAAGAGTATTATAAAACCAAGTGTGAGAAAAAAACGAGTTCTGGACTTTTTGATGTCAAAAATTCTTATCAATATTAAATCAACAGACAATGTGATACGTACGTATCTGTTTTACGTAAAAATAGTAAATAGGACTTTAAGATAAGAAAATTACTTTTTATGGCTTACATACGTACTGTGCAATTGATTAAAAAGATAAGTACTTACTACGTATAAACCTAACTATAAGCCATAAATGATTTTTACTACGTGTTACCGTTACTAATAAGTCAAATTGTGAAACAAAATGCTTTTTGAAAGCGTAGTACATATACATTGGCTCATTGGCTCCAATCACTTTAAAAGTTTTATTTTCAAAATATAAATTTCGAAAAATTGATAAGAAAAAACATCCAATCCACAATATCTCTGTATATGTGGCCGAATCTTGTATAAAGGACCCTATTTACATTTAATATGCGAGTATAAATTATATACAAAAAAAAGCAGTGTAGAGAAATAAGAGAAATAGGGAGGAAGGAAGAGCATGATGAATACGGGTGTTTGTACGTATAAGTACAGAAGTATGTTAGGGATAAGAAAAATATACTATATATGATATGTATAATTGTTTAAAAAAATATATGTATATATATACTTTATATATAATATGTATAATATATATGCAACCAATGTCCACGTAGTGTAAATATTTTTGTTGTTATTAAACAAGATTATACGCGGACCATAAAGTATCATTTTGTTCTCTTCTCAGTGAAATTTTTTTTTTAATAAAGTCCAAATACTATAAAGTTAGACTGTAAAGAACCATCATTTCCTTGTTTCACAATCCCACGAAACTTTTCCTTCTAAATAGAATTTCTATTGTATTTCGTGTTTCACAATCCCACGAAACTTTTCCTTCCAAATAGAATTTCTATTGTATTTCGTTTTCGACGCTCATTTCGTGTACTTGTTTCTCCACCATTTCCTCCACCATTAGATGAAGATCTTGAAGTATTTCGTGAATTCTCTGTACTTGTATCCTCCGGACTGCTTATGTATGTCATGTGTGAATATTTTGATATTGAATCGGAATGCAATGCTATTAGCAGAATGATGCATCCAATAACAAACGAGAGGTCATCAGTGACACGAACTATCCAAAAGTTACGAATTGTCGCGTTTAAGAAAATCGCGACCAACGTATGGACAGTGATGAAGAGGAAGGATAATATCAATGATATTGTTAATATTCCAGCCTAAAAAACAAATATTGATTAATAAATTAATGAATCAATTAATTAATACTGATATATAATTTTTTAATATTTTAATTCCAGATAATAACCAATTTAATCCAAGTAATTATTTACCTTGAGAATTTCTTTATTCGTCCGATCCCTCCTCGCCTGCCCAATATTTCTTGATACTGTTGGATCGACAATAGGAACTAAATCATTTTTCCTTGCCAATATTATTATAACACCAAATATCGCATATCCACAAATTGTCGGGAGAATAAAAATCGCTTCCAGAACGACATAAACAATTATGAAAACTCGTTCTAATATTGAGGTTGCATACACATTCGCAAGAACATAAGAAAGGAAGGAAATAATTTTGATCAACCCATTCAAAATAATTACAATAAAAAAAATTCTACTGATTCGACGAACAAATATAACTCTATAATCTAAGTCATCAGCAAGGTTACGTGTTGCCTTTACCCTAAAGTTAATAAAAGATTTATCATAGTGTTATTATTAAATAAAAAAAATAAATAAATAAAAAATTCTTAATCTTTTGTAATCTTACCATGGGAATAAAAATATTGTATAATTAATACACATAAAAAAGTAACCTAAAGCAACCATACTTTGATACACAAGGTCGGACATTCTGTGATAACGTATACCCCAAGGGTCATATGTAAATATTACTGGGAATACTTTAAGTAAAAATAGAATTGATGTCAGTCATTGTTTCATAAAAATAAATTACGATAATATTATGATAAATTACGATAATATTATAATAAATTACGATGACGATAATATTATAATAAGTTATGATAATATTAAATTACTATAATATTATAATAAGTTATGATATAATAAATTATGATAATTAAATAAAACATACAAGTAGCACACAAGACAATTCCGGCGAGTAACCATGGTTTTGGATTATCTCTGTCATATTTATTTTTGTAAATGCCCCATAAAAGAAGTCCAAGTGCTATTATTATAATAGTGCCATATAAGATTCCAACAATTATTGTCCAGATAAGAAATGCTTGACTATTAAGTAAATTGATCCAAGGTCCAGAATCTTTAAAAAATAATAATACTGTATTTAAAATAAATGGAATATAAATTGTTAACAAGTTATTAAACGAAATACCTTGCGTAACTATTGCATATGAAGTTTGATTCAAGAGGTCTTGAACATTTGCCATGTCTTCAATTTTCATCAAGGTCAGGGCAGGTGCAGTTTTAGAAAGTATCTGTAAACTTCCAGTATACTTTTCCTTAATGCCCGGATCTCCATCATTCATTGAAGTAAATATCAATACTTCTATTCCTGTCGAACTATCATTTGTTGTATCACGTGAATTTATATGATTCATGATCGCGCGTTGATTCAATTTCAGGTTTCGATGATCCGGTGGATTCGTTTCAAATGATATATCCATCGTTGTTATGGTACCAGAATTACGTGCCATGGTAGGTGTAGGTCTGCTGTCAGTGGGAAAATCTGTCGTGCTAGGTCCATGTGTCACCATGGAATAATATTCCGAGGTGGAACGATGATAAGTTGTAGATAGTAGTTGCGAAGTTACAGTAGCACTATCATTGATTGTTTGAATCGTTTTCTGGAGCCATGTATTACTAATTTTTCGAATGAAACATAGGATAAAAATATTAGAAATTAAATTGACAAAAGAATTAAAGAATTATACGAAGAATAAAGAAATTACCTTTCAATGACGTCAGAATAAGATGAACATCCATAACTCAATCCTTCATTAAATGGTACCAATAGTATGATAGTATTTATAGGAACCGAATTTAAAGTACAAGGATGCAGCGATTTGTCATTGCTAAAAGAAGCAATCGTAATGGTACCATTAACTTGTTCAGATGATAATCTATTCGCCCACATAAAGTCTACAGTAGAATAAGTTCTAATAAGCCCATTATAATAAAGAGATAGGCTTGCATTGCAGACTTGGGAGAATATGAGCCAAATAAGGAGGATTAGAAAAGACCCATTAAAAGAAGACCTATCTACAAGATTAATCCGCCCGAACATAGCATGAATTAAAATGCGCAATTGTTTCTTCTTAAGTGAAAACTATACTTAAATTACACAAGTTCAACTTGGAATAGGAATACACTCGTTATATTCGTTATATATATTAATGTGCCAAAGGAAATATGGCAAATTAATATGCCAAGTTCGGGCGTATCGTAAAAAATTATCCACCTATAAAGTAAGGCTCAAGAAAAGAAAGCTGAGATTGGAAAGACGCAAAATTTTTCGGACACAAATGGGGTTTTTATAAATATATACTGAGATTAACAAAATTAGCTGCAGATAAATTTAATTAGAATTTGCGTACTCCATGTTGCTATGGTGTGTAAATGTAACTCATTTTATATTAAAGCTGCCATATTCGGGAAATGTTTATTTCTTTTTAGTTGATAAACAAAAATTGATTGACGTTAATTTCGGCAAATCGATCTGCATTTCTCGGCTAAAGCAAATTGTTGTAAAAAGGTGTATCTGGTATTGGTTGGATGGACTTACTAAAAAAACCAAAAAACCGGGAGAAGTTACAATCGTTAGGAAAGAAAACCGGGAATAGTTTCATTACTATTTGCAGCACTCAATTGCCGGTGATACATTTTTGTTTGCATTTGGAGTAACAATCCTTAACCTAATATGTTAAGTTTTATCTACATGAAGTTGATAGGTAAGTTCTTCTTCCTTCTTTGTGATCATAAATTTGTTCGAACCTCTCTTTGAATAGTTATCAGAAGCTATGATGTAGCTTGGAGATCTTTCTAATTAAGGTTGTTTGTATTGAGATTAACTAGGGACCTAAGGTGCTTTAGGACAAGGACATGACTCCTAGTCTTTATAAATTTTGTAAACAAACTTTTTAAGGTATTTGTATGCGTACTTATAAATTGATATATACGTACGTACGTAAGTACTTACGTACGTACGTATTCACGTACTCGTAAGAGCATTACATAACTGATAATAACATTGACGCATTCATGATGCGTAAATCTTATTTATTTGATGAGTTTATTTATACCCATGTGACATACAAGACATGTCGACTTCATATTTTTGAAACTCAAAGCCCTTGTCATCATCTGAAATGATGGCATTATTTAATTTAAAGGCGGAAAAAAAAAGATTTTGGGATCTATGTATTATAAATTCGTGTGCAGATATTTCCAAATTGGTGTTTTTATTTTTCTCTATTCGTATGCGTTATGAAATTTCATAAAACAAAAAAAGGAGAAAATGCAAATTATAAATGATGAATGCATAACCCCATCTTTCTCATACAAAAAAATATAAAAAAAAAAACCTTGTTGTTGCGTGTTACATCGGCTTCTTTTTTAAGAAAAAAAATTTAAGTTTTCGCGTGACTTTAAAGGTGTAATCGGAGAACACGGAGGGCACTGAAACACTTAAATGTTCGACAATTTCACTATGCAAACAAAACAGCGATCCTTCTGAACACAAAAAAAGAATAAACACATGCTATTTCCTTATTAAGATGGAATGCAATCGGAAATCTTTCTATTTCATTCCATTTTTTTTTTAACTTAATTTGTCAGATGATTTCTGCCTTGTCGAAGAATTCTCGAAATCAATCTACATCTTGTGACTTGAAATTTTTATTTACATGTTCGGTATATTAGTGAATTCATTGTCTTTTGTTATGTCAATGCTAATCAATTTGTCTAAAAGATGTAACACTTATAAAATATAAAAATATAAATGTTATAGGCATATAGTAATCCTGGAAAACCAAAATTTTACGACCGACAAGGCAGATACATATTGTAAGTCTTTGCCAATTTGGTCATTTAAAATAACATTGACCTATCGAAAAATTGGCTTAGCTGATTTTTCCTTGTCAAAATCATTCATTACATGTTTTGTGCGTCAAATCAGGTCAAATTGGGTCAATCAGAATGGATTTAAAGCATGTTTTGTCACCCGTGATTTGTCCTAAAAAAAAGGAATTAGAAAAAATTACACAAAATTCGAAATTATTGGATTGTGCTAATGAAACTCAACAATCCTTAAGTGCTCTTAAATGAAAATGTTCCTGAGTCAATTTTATCATACGTAGACACGGGACAGGTCTATTTCCATTTTTGTAACCAAAACTTAATTCTTTGTATGCCACTGATGTCAACTACTGTTCCGATTGTACCCTTAGGGTCAAGTACAAGTGTATTTTTGATAGAATACGGGATGGTAGTAAAAGATATTAAATGTATCAGATTTATTTGTTGCACAAATTAAAAGTTACCATCTTGACTAAAGTCATTTAATTATTTTATTAGAATGAACTTAAGAGTATTAATGCTTATTATAAATACATATTAGGAGCAGTTCATAAACAATGTTATCAATGACACTAGTGATTGTAATCGATTTGGGCATTAGCCAAAAATCGACTTAGTCAATTAAGTCGACTTTTTTCCAAAATTTTGATTTAGTCGATTCTTGATTAAGTACCGTATTCCTCCGAAATAAGCACCCTTTTTTTGCGGGCCAAAGTTGGCATAGTGTGGGCCAGGGGTGCTTATTTTCGGAGGAATACGGTATAGATGTGAGTGATGCGCAGCGAAAACCTGTAAGTGATTGACCTATCAAATTTAAGATCAGCCTGATCTTGAAATTTGATTGGTCAAATCGTACAATATTTTGAGGGAAAAAATCGGTATATACATAACTGATACGATCGATTTTTAAATTTCGGCTTAGTCAAGTCGACAAATTTAAACACTAAGGACTTGATACCCCTCTAACCCTCATGTAGTGACTTATAATATACTTTCAGACTCCTGTTCCTGAAATAGCATAATTTGTGAACTCCCTCATAAAAAAAATAACAATAGCCTCTTTGATTGAACAAATGATTTAATATATTCTTATCTTTAATATTACTTCTATTTTGGTTACTGGATATATCCTACTTGAATTCATATACACATAAAGCTGTTTTGATATAAGTTGAATCTAAATTATAAATAGCATATACGTATTACAAAAATAATTATAAAATGAATTTGTTTTGCTACAATATTCATCTTTAAATTTATTAATAAAAAGACTGTAATATTGGCTTGGCATTTTGTTAATCTGATAATTTACAACCTTTAAATTTTCTATTTTTGTTTAGCTTTTAGATTTGGTTCTCTTGCAATATAAATAACCTACTTTATACTCGATTAATAATATATTTTATTAAAAGGGTCTATATTATAAAAAACTACAAATTTTGTGCTTTAATACGTAATATTTACTATACATTAATATATAAAAACACAAAAATAAATGATCTTTCTACAAGTAATATCAATATTATATATAATCTTTTTAAAAGGTAATACCATTATTATATAACAAGCTTGCCTAAAAAATAATTTAATAAAATGATAAATAATATAAGTACAAAAAATTGGTAATATGAAATATCTATTTAGAAAAGCCTAATACGGATTAAAAAAAAAAAAAAAAAAAGATAAATATTTGATATACAGAATATTAAACTAAACCAAAACTATACTAATTAGATAGAAGTTTGGGCCCTTGCAGTATAGACAATCCCTTTAATAAATGTATTACGTATTAATCAATTGATTATATAAAGTGTAGCCGAAATTTTAGAAATTTATAAATTCGTATTAAAAAAGGGTTTGCAAAATTTGTAATAAGTATACGTAGATTCTTGTCGATTAACTCGAATGAATGAATGTACTAAATTAGAAAATAAAAAAATCCGCATTGGCACTAATTTTCAGATTTGATTATCTCATGTACACCTTTTTTTACATGCATTTTTCAAAAATTTAATTATAAATCGATATACAAATATATAGTTGATATAAATAATCATAGTAATAAAAACATAAATTTGGTAAAACGTATACGTACAAATATAAATATAAAATCGATATATATACTGTATCTAAAATTAACTATATGCAGCTTTTAAAAGATTAGTAGAATATTGCTATTAAGAAAATTGTTCCTGGACTAAATCTTTCTAATAATTCAGTGCATCATTTGTTATTCAATATTAGCAATTTTAAAGGCAACGCCTACTTCCGCCATGGAAATTTACTATTGGCCGTAATTTATTATTTGATATTTATCATGTTAATATAGTTATGCCATGAAAAAAAATATGGTGAAAATGGTAAATTTCCATGGTGAAATAGGCATCCCCTTTTTAAAATTTCAAATAAATCTTTTGAAAAACAAAAGACATATAAAACAAAATTGGTTAAACATGGCTTAAACATTGGGATTTTTGCATTTATTTGTGATAGAAATATATATGTAAATTTAAATTCAAACAAGCAAACCATTCAAAGTTTTTACACTTATAAATTCGAATTAAGAATGCGATACCATTTTATTTTTTCATTAAGTTCCAACAAGATATAATACCTAATTTAAAGATGCTTGATTCGTATTTTCTGTACTTTCTTGAGGTTCAACTTGATTTTCATTTTCAAGTCGAGACTCATCTTGGTGATCATGACTCACACTCCTGTCAACTCTTTTAGGAAATGTTAATGTAGAATTTCTAACTGCATCAATCGTAATACTATGATAATTATTCAAAGAAATTTTATAGTAAACTTGGGGTGATTGAAAATGATTTATTTCTACTTTAAGACCTCCTGTATTTAAATTTTGATTGTTTGCTAAAGTTTTGGCAACTTGTGAACGGCGATAATTCAATATATGATATCCTACGTGATCAAATTGAGGCACTAAATGAGAAATTGCTGATAATTTTGGTTCAACTTCTGCTGGAAAACGACCCGATGAATAGAACTTGAAATCAATCCTTGATTTGAAATTAATGCGAGCTTCAAGTATAGCTTCAGAAAGCATGTCAACAAAACAATCAACTTTGGCTCCAGCCATATCAAGTAAGTTTACTCGACCTTTACTGGGTTGGATTTTGAAGAAATCAAGCTCTCGTTTTATGTCACTCATCAATGGTTCCAACGAACTTGTTGGCCAAGTAATTTTTCCACAACGATAGAATTGCATAATATACTTAAAAACATTTGAATCTCTATCAAAGAAGAATTCTTTTGCCTCCTTAGTTTCTGCTTCATTCAGAAAAAGCTGTCCTAGCAGTGTATCTGGGTAAGCGGTGAGTGTTGAACGATACGTTTCAAACTTTAAAATAATGAATAGAAATATTGATTATTTCAGTGAAGTGTAATAATATTTAAATATATATATATATTATTATATAAATCAGGTGGCGTTAGAGGGAAGGTCTTACTTTTAATAGTAAATGACACATTCCTAATAAAATAATAATAACAATAAGTCATTCGACAAACCTTCACTCCACCCACATTCAATACGACGCGTTCCTCTGTTTTCATTTTGTCAAGTTCTTCAATGGCTGCTTCTGATGGGCTTTTATCTTTTAAACCAGATCCCAGTAATAATTCTTCATAAGACTTTCTTGATGATGTTAATTTAAGATCTCTCTCAAATTGTGGCCTAGTTGAAACCGTGGATGATGAACCATCCGTGTTCTGTTCATAAGCATTTACTGCACTTTGTGCATGAAAAGTTCGTAAATGTTTTATGACCGGCAAAGTGCCTCGCGAATGAGTCAGAATTCTTTGCATAAAAATTTTTTTAAAAAAGGTTAATATATATTTTTAAAGCAAACCTTTATTACTCTCTTCAGTTCAAAGTTATTCAAAACTCCTTTTTTTTATCGGCATAAAACGCGTTTTCTACACACCTTAGTCTTGATAGCATTTCGGTCAGAAAAGAAGACAAATAAAAAAAAATCTTAGTCTAGATGAGATTTGATATACCGATGCGAGAAAATTATTGGGTGCGATCTCTGCGATCTCTACGATCAGCTGTACCTGCTAGGGATATTAGTCGGGCCAAAATTATCGACTAAATAAGCCGATTCTCTGAGCCGGCTTAGCCGGCTAACCAGGTGATTTACCAACTTATATATTGGGAAAATATACCGACACAGCATGCACATGACTTATCTCCGTTATCGGCACAGCAAATGATCGACATTTAGTACATCAACAGGATCCCAAAAAGTCCGGCCCTGAACTAGTTAGGAACTAGTCTGTATCCTCTGCATGAAACCGGTCCAATCTAAGTCAAACTCTAGCAGTTTATATAGCTGATATTTACTGTAGAATTTATAATAAAAAAAAAAATACATATACAATATAGGCCATAATTTTCATTATTAAATTTGCTTTTTATAATAATTTTACAAATATTTAATAAAGATCTGAGGCAATTGATCTTACTGTATACTTTTTTTTTTAAAAAAAAACCAGATCCATTACTTATTTGGAATTTTCAGTTAATCAAAATAACATATATCAGTTTCTTATTACACTTGTATTTGTGATTTATAATATATTTATATTTAAATATATGTTAATATTTTATAACTATATTTGAAGTTAGAAACATTTTATTTATATATCTTGATAATTTAAAACCTATAATTTTTTAAAATTTTTGTTACTAAGGCCATATAAAAAAATTTTTTTGGTTTTTATAACCTGGCCGGGTCAAAATTTAAAAACTTGTAAAAAATTTTTTTTATATGTTTTAATAATCAGGTGAGTTTTTTTAAAAAATTTTTAAAAAAATTTACAGTCAAACCCCTTTATAGTCACCTCCTCTATAGTTACAAAATTGGTATAATTACAAATTTATTTTACCAATTATTTATAACTAAATAGAAAATACCTCTATATTAGTCACATCTCTTTATAATCACGCTTTTTTGTATCCTGAAGGTGTAACTATAGAGAGGTTTGACTGTATATATAAAATTTTAAAAAAAAAGCTAGCCAGCTGGGTCTGTTTAAACAGTTCTATGTTATGAAAACCAAAAAATTTTTTTTATATAGCCTAATTTTAAATTATATTATATTTTTAAATATAGTATTATATTTTTTTCCTTTAATAATCCTGTTTATTTCATTATAAAAACAGACTTTCATTCTTATATATGAAAAAATCTAAATCTATAGTATTTCAATCAGAAGATAAACTCACCTACAGCTTTACTTCAAAGATGCTATAACATCCACTTGCAGTCAGAGCGAACTATTAAACTGCTATGTTATACTCAGATGTGATCTGCTTAGCAAATGATTGGCCTCTTTCAAAGATCTAAAACTTACTCCAGATTTATTTTCCTCAAATTCATCAATTAACTGTTGCACTGTCTCATCAAGATTTCTGCTTTACAATAGAATATCACCAATCTGATAACACTTTTTCATAGAAAAAAAAAAAAAAAAAAGATATAATAGAAAACAAAAAAAAGGTATAAAGAATAAAACTAATATATCAAAGAAAACAAATTTTTTTTCCACTTTGACTGTCTTGCCAAAATTCTTTATTATTGGGTATCGATTAGTTAAAATGATACCAAACAAAATGTTATACTATGCAATTTTAGACATGACATCCTGTAGTTACTTCAAAGAGTACTTACAAATGATTGGCTGCACTAAACAGACACGTCCCTTTGAACACATCTTGATGAATTTTAGCTAAAAATTACATCTATCTTAGAAGGTACTATCAGACCATCACTATACAATAAAATACCATCAAACTGATAATATCTTCTTGTAGAGAAGTAGAAAAAAGAAAAAAGCACTAATACTAATACTAATATTAAAGGAGAAAATAAAATAATGAAAACTAATATTAAAAAACAAATACAAAGACAAAAGGGAGTAAAAAGAAAAAAAAGAAATCTGATAGGTCACATTTATAAACCTATGTTGGGCTTTAAAAAATTATATATTAATAGAATAAAGAAGCTCTGTATTTAACTCTACTCTAATAATATATATATATATCGAAAAAACCTATTATATAAAGAAAAAATATTTTAAACTAAACTAGAAAACCTAGATAGAGTAGTTAGAAAAAAGAAACTGTAGTCTTGAAGTATTGTTTGTGGTTCTCAGAAGTCAAGGCACATTACTATCGTGTGTCTCAGATATACTGTTTCTGTATGTAGGAGTCTTCTACTCATTTTACTTTAATGCACCTGACTGTAGTCTACTGGTTCATTAATAACCTGGGTTACTTCGAGCTATACTAAATAAACAACACATCATAAATATCCACTTTGGGAGATAAACAATACTAACTGTTTTGGTGATTTTATGTGTAGATCATTTGAAGAAGGTAAATTGAGATGCCCACTTTTTTGACAAATTTTCTTGAAAAAAAGTAGTAGCCCAATGAAATTTTGTAAGTTCTTTCTTATAAGTTTTATAGTTGTATAGAAACTATCTTCAGTTTTTTTAATATGCTTAGTATTGACCTAGTTGTTCTGTGTTCTCAAAATATTCTTCTGGTATGAATGCTAAATATAATAGAGAAATCCACTAGCAAAAACATCTAACCTTTACAAAAACTGTCCAAAGTAGTCTGCTCCTCAGTTTTATACTTTTTGTACTTCGTTGACAACACACCTACTTGTATAGAACCGAATATATTATTACTCATTAATGTCTTCTATAACATTAACTGTAGTTCAGATTTTTTAGATTTGTTGGCACGAGGATTATTGAAAAGAGTTCATATTAGGTGAAGAAAACAGATACTAATATTAAAGAATATAAAAAAACTAAACTAAAATCTAAAAGAAACTATTGCTAGAAAGAAAAAACTTGCTAACCAAATGAAAACTTATAACTATACAAATTAATAAACTACTATTAAGTGCAAAAGTCTTAACTGCATTATAATTCATGCCAGAGTTTAAAAATTACATACTAGCTACTAGACAAATTAATCACTATTTCTTCATTTATTTACCTAGTATATCAAAGTAAAAATCTGATAGGAAAAACTTCATTGACTGGCTTAATTGTAGAGAGGTCGGAGTCTAGTCTCAAATTATTGTTTGTATAAATATTAATTATATTCAAAGCACGTATATACACATATTTGTTGTTTTGTTCTAATTTGGGAAATAAACAATGCTAACTTGTTTGGTGCACATGATGTCAATTATTTGAAGAATGTAAACTAAAATGCCTACTTTTTACAAAAACTTTCTTAAAAAAAGTGGTGGGCTAATGAGAGTATATAAGGTTCTTCTTGTAAGTTTAATAGTTATATAGTCTAGCTTCTTCATTTTTACTAACTTAGAAGTACATATTGGCTACTGCTACAGACTTGTTTTCAAATAACACTTCTGGTTTGGATGTTAAATACTTTGGAGAGTCTGTCAAAGAAAAAAAAATTTGACTTTAAAAAAAACTGTTTATTCTTTTGATACTTATATCTTGGTATTTCATGTTTAGACACTTAAACTTCATCAACAACAAACTGCTTTTATTTATAGAACCAAGTTTAGTATCTACTTCATTGCTTTTCTATACATTTTGCTATAGTTTAGTTTTTGTTGTTGTTAACCAGAAGATCATTGAAGAGAGTTGTCTTGAATATAGTATTATATTAATAGATTTTATTAGTATATTTTATTAGTATAGTTTATATACAGTATATTTTTAGTTCTAGTCTATTAGTAAAATTTTTAACATATAGTATTAATTTTAGTATAATATTAAAATATTATCTGGTATATTAACAAGTATATTAATAAAATATATTAACTAAGATATTAACAGAGATATTAATAGAGATATTATCTTTTTTATTTTTTGGTTTTAAGATAATCTCTTGGTCACTATTCTTTTATTTTTTATAATTCAGTAGTTTTGTTACTTTTTGTTTGCAGATTAAACTACATTAAGCAATTTACATTTTTTAATAATAGCTATACTAATCCATCTGAAAAGTAGCTTACCCACACTTTTGCCAGATATAACTTGCCTTAGTAGACTTTAAGCCTCTCTCTGGGCTTCTAACTTACTAGAGATTATTCTTTAATTATATGCTGGTATTACACACTGTATTAAAGTTAGCTTTCTTTTTTACAAAATGAAATACAACACAAATATAAAGGGTGTAGCAAAATGGTAAAATACTATAGTGTCAAGTTCTGGTCTATCTAAACCAATAAAACCAAATATAACAAATAATAAAACTAGGAACTGGAAACCAATATAAGTCTGGAGCTTAATTTAATATTTTTAATGTTTTTTTTTTATTTTTCTTTCATGTTTTTTTTTACTTAATTTTTTATTTTTTTATTTTATTTATTTTATTTTATTTTATTTTTTTGTATTTTT